GCACATAACAACAACAACAACAGTGTGGTGGTGGTGTTGGGAGCTCTGGTGTAGTAGTGACTAAGGCATTTGACTACTATGCAGAAGGCTGGCGGTTCAGGTTGTGCAGTCTACTTCCACAGTAATACCGCCTTAGAAACCCAAGGAGGGCTCGCTATAAATCGGAGCCGACTCAAAGCCAGTTTGGTTTGGTTTTGGTATTGTGACTTGCAGTTGCCAGGACGCAGACTCCTTGACTCCGGCGGCGCCTTTGGATTGGCGGAAGAACGTTGCTCTCGTTGCTCTTATCCGAAGCAATGAGAACGCTTATGCGCAGCTAAGTGGAAGGGGCGGGACTGAACATTTTCTTTGACCAACCGCTTTTCACACATTCAGCCTCCTGACCGCGTAGGTAGTAAAGTAGTTGCACCTAATCTCTTTTCTAGTAGGACCGCCGGGTTTTCCGGTTAATTTTTCTTTATTCCGCTTCCGGTAGAGGCGGGTAGGGTCAAGGAGCTCTGAAAGTCATTTTTGTGCGACTGATGTTTTTATTTCCGGTCTATGGGACCAGGCTGGGATTTACTGCGGCTCGCAGTCGCTACCGGCACTTCCGCCGCCATCATGTCAGATACCGATAGCGATGAAGAGTCGACTGGAGGCGGTCCATTTTCTTTAACTGGTTTCCTTTTTGGCAACATCAATGGAGCCGGGCAGCTGGAGGGGGAAAACGTCTTGGATGATGTGAGGGGGTGGGCGTGGGGTTAGGGATGGGGGTGGTTGCGGCCAAGGAGCGTAAGTAGGGTGAGGAGACTAGGGGATGCTTAAGTAACGAGAACTGAGCACGCTGTGAACCACTCTGAAAGGGCACAGTTAGGTAACCTAAGAGGAACGGGGTGGTATTCTTCTGGGCATAGGCTAGGGAGGCACAGATACTTCCTGTGGTCAGGGGCGCGAGTGTGGGTTGCTTTGGAGATAACTTTCTACCTGACCAGACACTAGCAATAATTTAGTAAAATTGCTTTCAAATCGTTACTGTGGGAATCTTGGAGAATCTCTAAAGCTTGTCTGCATTTCTGACATCACTGACCCAAGAGTGCTGGACAGAACCTGATTCAAGCCCCAACCGTTAGAACAGTGAATGTTCAAACCATCCGGGCAGATCTTTTCTGGTCCTAGTATGATCTTTGGGAGTAGCTCTGGTAGCATAGTGTCTAAGGCACTTGATTGCTAACCAGAAGGCTGGCGGCTCAAACTATCAGCCACTCCTCAGAAGGAAGGTTGGGTAATCTACTTCCGTAGTGATACTGCCTCGCAACCCAAGGAGGGGTCGCTATGAGTCGGGGCCGACTCGTCGGCACACAACAGTATGATCTTTACCTAGTTTTCCCAGTGTGTTCATTGACATTCGTGAAATTGTTTCCAGTGTCCAACTGAAACTCAACCTACTTTCATTCAGGTTAATTTTCTCAAGAAGTAAAACTCTTAATGTTTTCCCTCCCCCAAAACACACAGAATATAGCAAAAAAGTCATGTCTTGCTTTTTGTAATCCAAATGACCTCATTTGTTTATTCAAAGAATTCCTGTTACATTCTTTTGGTCTTGGTGGTGCTTCTTTAAAAATCTTTTCATACATTTAAAGTGTGGTGACTGAAATTGGACATGGTTCTTTAATAAAGATTGGATTAATGTGGAATTTAGTGCAAGATTTACTTTACAGCTCTTGAATGTGATGCTCCATTTAGCACACTGCAGACTCATTTTTCAAATGGATTTATGACTTTGTCGTGGACCAGGGAAATGAACCTTGTGGTGTGGGAAGTTTAGGTTTAGTTGTTACCTTCGACGCTAATGCTGTCCTTTTTTCAGGAGTGTAAGAAGCACTTGGCGGGCTTGGGGGCTTTGGGTCTGGGCAGCCTGATCACTGAACTCACGGCAAATGAAGAATTGACTGGGACTGATGGTGCCCTGGTGAATGATGAAGGTGAAGCCTGGGTCATGGTTAATAAAGTGGGGGAGGAGGGTAGCCACTTGTACATGTACTTCTAATTGGGAATTGTCTCAGGGAGAGTTACTTGCTCTATGTTGAGGATCCCCCCACCTCCGCCTTTGTTTCTTCTTTTTACTTACAGGTTGGATTAAGAGTACCGAAGATGCTGTGGACTATTCAGATATCAATGAGGTAGCAGAAGATGAAAGCCGAAGATATCAGCAGACAATGGGGAGCTTGCAGCCCCTTTGCCACTCAGGTGATTCTTTGATGTTATTGGCATAACATTCCAGGGCATTTTCCTGTTTGTTGAGTCCAATTTTGGCTCTGGTTTTCATGCTTTCTGCCACTGTTTCTGCTCTCTATACCTTTGCTTCACTTTTGTCCCTTTATTAGCTTAGTTACAAGTAGCTCCTGTCTTTTGTTTTCTGGGGCAATCACACCATACTTAGGCTTTTTATTTCTCATGCTGTTCACTACCAAATTCTTGGAATGCCAAGAATGATAATGCTTTTCTTCTTGCCTTCTGGTATTTGAGTACCTATAGATTTAATGGCATTGTTGCAGATGCTATTAAAAGTTACAGACTTTGAAACAAACTGTCTTTGCCAGCAAGGGATTCATAGTTTAAGAAAGATTAAGTATACAACGTCATATATAAATGAATATGTGTATTTATTGGCTAAAATTCTGTTAATCATTCAGCTACCTATACACTGATAGGATACACTTCATGGCTTGCTTCGCTTTTTCTCCCTGCTATAAGGAGCTCTGATAGCATAGTGCATAAGGCATTTGACTGCTAATCAGAAGGCTGGTGGTTCAAATCCGCCAGCCACTCCTCAGAAGGAAGATGGGGCAATCTACTTCCATAGTGATACTGCCTCGGAAACCCAAGGAGGGGTTGCTATGAGTTGGATCTGACTCGACGGCAGTGAGTTTGGTTTTGGTTTTGGTTATGGATGATTTAGGAGGCCCTGGTTGATGTAAATGGTTAATGCTTGACTGCCAGGTGAAAGGTTGGAGGATTGATCACATCCAGAGGCGCCTTGGAAGCTGGGCCTGCTGATCTGCTTCCAAAAGATCATGGCCTTGAAAATCCTATGGAGCACTTTTTCTTTGCACACATATGGTTGCCATTAGTCGGAATTGACTTCATAGCAACTAACAACAGCATTAGGGAAAGATATTGGAGATTAAGAGATTGATGAAGGAGACAGGAGTGTAAAGTCACAAGCTGGGAAAGTGAGGATAGAGGTGGTATTGATAGTAACAAGAGGGCATTTGAACAAAGTAAAAGTTATTTCAGTGTGATATAAGAAAACCAAACCTGTCAAGTTGATTCCAACTCATGGCAACCCCGTGTACTGTAGAGTAGAACTGCAGAACACACAAGATTTTTTTGGCTATAATATTTAAAGAAACACATTGCTAGGCCTTTCTTCTGTGATTTCATTGGATGGGTTAGACCACCAAACTTTAGGTTAATCAGACCAAAATATCAAACCCATTGCTGTTGAGTCCAAATCATAGTGACCCTTTAGGACAGTGTAGAACTTCCCCATAGCATTTCTAAGGCTGTAATCTTTATGGAAGCAGGCTGCTACATCTGGTGGTCTCAAACTACTGATCTTTCAGTGATCAGCTGAATGTTTAATCACTGCACCACTAGGTTAGTAGATGAGTGCAAATTGTTTGTGCCACCTCAGGACCTTGTGATAAAGAGCTGTTGAATATCCAAGTGGAAAGATTCTTTAGGCAGCAGAAGATGCAGTGGAATTGTAGAGATGGAGAAGTCAGGGCAAAATACATAGATTTGAATTTAATCTGGATACAGATGATACTTGAGAAGGGGAGTGGTGAGTGTGTAGGGGAATAAAAGCAAAGTGTTCAGGACTAAGTATTTAGTGATGCCAGTGATTAAAAGGGCAGTGGAAAGAACGAAACTACAGAAGGTAGGTAGAGAAAGTGGAGAAGAAAGTCCAGTCGTATAGGAAACTGGCAGTGCAAAGAGAATGTTGAGTTCAGTTTATGAGATTGAGCAGGGTGAAAATTAAAAACAAAAGAGGATTTGCCTATGGGATAGTTCTACTCTGTCCAGTAGGGCTGCTATGAGTCAGAATCGACGTGATAGCCAAAAACAAAACAAAACAGGATTTGATCAGAAGGAGCCAAAGGTTTCCAGTAGCTTGTTAGCGCCCTACATTCCTGTGTTAGACACTGTATATAGTCTTATGATGTTTGTCTGTATCACAGTGTCTTCTAAGTGCTTCATGTGGTGCTTTAAATTCTTGAAAGGGAGCTCAGGACTGTTGTCTTAACTTTTTGGATATTGAGATCACCATCTTGGTCTTATTAGATTATGATGAAGATGACTATGATGCTGATTGTGAAGACATTGATTGCAAGTTGATGCCGCCGCCCCCCCCACCTCCAGTACCAATAAAGAAGGATAAGGACCAGGATGCTATTGCTGGTGGTGAGTAGAGATTGCTTTTGTCTAAAGATCAAGTTTCCATTCATTAGTTTAGACATTGGCACACACATAAGGGGCTGTTAAACAAAATTAAACTGCTAGGAAAGAATAAAACTTGTAGAAATGATTCATTCATATGCTCTTTAAATGGAAGTTTTAAAACAATTGGCTGGCAACAGTATCTTCACACGCATTCAAGATAAAGTTGTTCTCAAGTCTAGCTGCCCTTCAAAATCACCTCAAGTCTTTAAAAAATAATTTCTAACTCTCACTCCTAGAGAGTTTGATTCAGAAAATTTAGAGTAGAGCCCAGAAATTTTTAAGTGTTGTCCCCAAGTGATTTCTCTTGCAAATTATCTGCATACTGGTGTGTGGAAACTACCTGTTTTGATGACTGTTTAAAAATAAATAGTTAAATGGGAACAGCACACTAGGATGCTGTAGGATAAATCATATGGAACCAATTATCAGGTAGAGATTTCAAAGGCTGATAGAATCTTCAGGGATCATCTCACTTATCCCTGTGCATGTAAGAGTAACATAGGCTAGAAGACTGGGGAAGCAGTATCTTTGGTCTTCTATATTTCCAACTCATAGCGACCCCTCCTTGAGTTTCCGAGGCGGCGTCACTACGGAAGTAGATTGCCCAACCTTCTTTCCGAGGAGTGGCTGGTGGGTTTGAACCGCCAACCTTCTGGTTAGCAGTCAAATGCCTTAGGCGCTACGCCACCAGAGCTCTTAAGAGACTGAAGTTAACCTAAATTCCTCCCCTTGCATTTTTAAGCCATTTCCTTTTTAGTCTTCAGGGTAAATATCATCTTAACTTTATGTCATAGATCTTATTTTATGCTAAACAAATGTCATTGTTACCCTGTGGGCTCAAAAAAAGAAAAGATTGTGTAGCATATGGATCCCTGAACTACACATGATATTGCCTGATGTATAAATTAATACATAGTTTGATATTGGTCACATTCCTTTAACCTCATATACTTATAGAAAGTAGTAAATGTAGTAATAGTGTTTGTTTTCTCTCATCACAACCATAGGGTACCAGGTACAAGGTGAGTTGGGAAAGGTGGGATATACTGAGTTGGAATGTTTTCTTGGTTACATACTAGTAATCTGTATGTTTGAGATTGTAACCCCTTCCATTGAGCTGTGTGTGTGTAGCCTAGAGTGGGTGTTGGTTGAATTTGAGGAAATATGCTCACAGTTATATGCCATAGGGGTTTCTCTTCCTTGTTGCAGTGTCTGAAGATGGAGAAGGCATCATCTTGCCCTCCATCATTGCCCCTTCCTCTTTGGCCTCAGAGAAAGTGGACTTCAGTAGTTCCTCTGACTCAGAATCTGAGATGGGACCTCAGGAAACAACACAGGCAGAATCTGAGGATGGAAAGCTGACCCTACCATTGGCTGGGATTATGCAGCATGATGCCACCAAGCTGTTGCCAAGTGTCACAGAACTATTCCCAGAATTTCGGCCTGGCAAGGTACTTTGTATGGAAAACACCCACATTGCAAACCACTGACCTCTTCCGAATACTGAGTTCTGTTGTAAGATGATTGACATAGAATGGAGAAGACCTAAGGGTTTCTTTATTTAGTAACGTTGATCATAGGAGCTCTTTATAGTATATTAAGTCTTTTTTGTGAAGTTGTATACCTTGTTGGTAAATGTGATTTATGCCATTCTCATAAGAAATTGTCCTGTTATCTTAAAAGAATGAATCCAAATTATCGAGGGATACTTCTTCTTTAGTAGGTGTTATGAGTTCAGTATTCCTTGTCTCTCCCCTACAGTTGAGTAGATTTTCCAGGGAGTTTCCAGACCCATATACTGCTCTTTTCCTGTCTGGCATTGAGTCTGACAGTAATGTGTTCTGTGTTTTAGGTGTTACGCTTTCTACGTCTTTTTGGACCAGGGAAGAATGTCCCATCTGTTTGGCGGAGTGCTCGGAAAAAAAGGAAAAAGAAGCACCGTGAACTCATACAGGAAGAGCAGATCCAGGAGGTGGACTGCTCAGTAGAATCAGAAGTCAACCAGAAATCTTTGTGGAACTATGACTATGCTCCGCCACCACCTCCAGAGCAGTGTCTCTCTGATGATGAAGTAGGCAAAATAAAGACCTGGGATTAAGGCCTACCAGGGGAACAAATGAGTTCTTCCTATCTTATGTCTAGTTTAGAAGTAATTCTTAAGCAGGCAGAATCCTGTGTTGATTATCAATGAGTAATCATGAGTTCAATCCTGGTGGTTCCCCCTTCCTTATTATAATAAAAAAGTATGGCGTTTGGGGGAGCAGGGGATTGATGGTAATGGACATACTAGTGAATAGGAATGGGGGAATGATAGGCATAGTGTGCCATGATATACTTCCATTGCTTATATTTTAACTCCAGATAAAGTTTTTTGTTTTAAAAATCATCCTGATGGCTTTTCTTAAGTTCCCCTCCTGGCTATTCACTCCTTACAGTTTAGGACATCTGGGATTGAGAAATCTCCTCCTCCTACTTCTTTCCTCTGTTACAGATCACAATGATGGCACCAGTGGAGTCCAAGTTTTCCCAATCAACTGGAGATATAGATAAAGTGACAGATACCAAACCAAGAGTGGCTGAATGGCGTTATGGGCCTGCCCGACTGTGGTACGATATGCTAGGTGTCCCTGAAGATGGTAGTGGTTTTGACTATGGCTTCAAACTGAGAAAGACAGAACACGAACCTGTGATAAAATGTAGAATGATGGAGGTGAGCAACACTGAAATACAAGAAAGGAATTGGTATGCCCAGGGCCTGTCAATTTTACTACCTTTTCAGTTGTGAAGAGATACTGGATAGGATTTCTTTGGTGGGATATTTGGATGTTTAGTGCTTTTGCTAGGAGTTCTGGTAACGTAGTGCCTAAGGCACTTGACTGCTTAACCAGAAGGCTGGTGGTTCAAACCCACCAGCCACTCCTCAGAAGGAAGGTTGGGCAATCTACTAGTGATAACGCCTCGGAAACCCAAGGAGGGGTCGCTATGAGTCAGGTCCAACTTGATAGCACATAACAACAACAACAATGCTTTTGCTTGGTATGGTATCACTTTGACAACTAGAATCCCTTTGCAAGAATTCTCTTTGTAAAATGAATGATGTGCTGTACTAGGAATGGGAGGAGACAGATACTCCTCCGATACCAGGTGGTTCTCAAGTCAAAGACCACTTATGTATCTCTGGTGTGGGATTAGAAGTGGAACTGTGAGCAGTCAGTCATTTGTTGTTCTTCCCTATTTTCTATAGGACTTCAGGAAGCTTGAGGAAAGCAGTGGCACTGATCTTCTGGCTGACGAAAACTTCCTGATGGTGACACAGCTACATTGGGAAGATGATATCATTTGGGATGGGGAGGATGTCAAACATAAAGGGACAAAACCTCAGCGTGCAAGCCTGGCAGGCTGGCTTCCTTCCAGTATGACTAGGAATGCCATGGCTTACAATGTTCAGCAAGGTGTGCTTCCATGCCAGCTATGTCCAACACACTACTTTCCAACTCAGTCATTGTAAGCAGGCTCAGCTATATTTTGGGCTGCTGAGGGACAACGAAATATTTTGATTCAGATCCCTTATTCTAATCTAATAATTTTTTTTATTACCCTATTGATGAGTTAAGATGGACTCTGGATTCTCGTTAGAAATATTTGAAAGCCACTTTGAAGTTAAAGATCTGAACTACAGCAATGCTTTCTTTAGCTATATACTCTACTTTTTGTTTTCAAAGCCCCTTTGTCTTTATCTTTCTAGTATTTGCCTTTTCTCTTCTTAACTAGGTTATTAAAAAAAAAAAAAGAAAGGTGAGCCATGGTTAACATAGAAAACTTTGAAAATATGGTACAGTGCTCCTGCCCCTAATAGTCCTACTTTCCAGAGATAAACAACTATTAACTTTATGGTGTATTTCCTTTGAGTCTGTTCTGTGTGTAGTTGAACTTGTTTCTGTATAAACAGTTTTTTGTATACTCTGCTTTTCACTTAAATACTTTTCTGTGTCATTCAGAGTTTTCATAAAAATTTTTAATGACATGGAAAACTCATTTTTAGTGGGGAAAAAATCAAGATAGGAGGTGACATACTTGGTACACATTTGTATAAATGAAAAAAAGGCAAAGTGTATAAACATAGAAGACTAAAAGGAAATACACTAAAGGGTTCACAGTGGTTATTTCTGATCTGTAAGATCCCCATAACTTCACTTTTCTTCTTCATACTTTTCTGTATTTTCCAAATTTTCTTCAATGAACTTGGATTACTTTTATCATTAGGAGATAACACAAAACTGTATGTAATAGGTTTTTTCCATTACCATTTTTTCTAAATAATTTATTGGTTGCGCAGTATTCTTATAGGGACATTTTGTGATTTATTTGCCATTTTATAGTTGTAATATATTTTACTGCCATTTATTGTTACCATATTTTATCATTTTTTACCATAATTTATTAGTCCTTACTGTTAAATACTGAGACTGTTTAAATTTTGACTATTATAAAAAAATATTGCAGTGACACATTTGCTACATTTTTAAAAGAAATATACTGTGTCCAGTTGGTTCCTTTTCAGTAGCTACATGAGTAGCTCTACTAACAGAGCTCCTTTTCCCTTCCTTCCAGTCATGATTGAAATGGGCATAAATGTTTTGTCTGTTATTTAGGGTTTCCTCTTTCTGCTTTAACTAGGTTTTGCAGCCACCCTGGATGATGACAAACCTTGGTACTCCATTTTTCCCATTGACAATGAGGAGCTGGTGTATGGACGTTGGGAAGACAATATCATTTGGGATGCTCAGTCCATGCCTCGGCTATTGGAGCCTCCTGTTTTGACACTTGATCCCAATGATGAGAACCTCATTTTGGGTATGGTACTATCAAAGGCCAATGTTCCTTCTTCATCTTTGACAGCCTGCTGCTAATATTAAGGGGCAGGAGGAAATCAGAAGAGTTGGAGAAGGTCAATACTAGATGCTTCCAGGTAGCAATTTGAGAGAGCCAAGTTGGGGCTATCAGTTTTTAGTATTTGTGGATTGTTCAGAGACAGTGCATAAGAATGTTGGAAAGTAACCCCTTTGAAATTTGTGAGGAGTGCAATTTGTTTGGTAAGAATGAATCACAGAATAGAAGTGGTCTCAGAATGCGAGATTTAGTTAGAAACTGCAAAGGTATCAGTAGGAAAGGTGAATCTTCAGGGATGGCCACTCCAGAGTGATTTATTTCATTCTCAGAAATTCCTGATGAGAAGGAAGAGGCTACCTCTAACTCTCCCTCCAAGGAGAGTAAAAAGGAATCATCACTGAAGAAGAGTCGAATTCTCTTAGGAAAAACGGGAGTCATTAAGGAGGAACCACAGCAGGTCTGTGAAGGGAAAGGGGGCTTGGTGTTTCGAAGAACCAAGAAAGGTAATGAAAAAGGGTAGTTTAGTAAGGTTTACTGTATTTGATGATCTATCATTAGAACATGTCTCAGCCAGAAGTGAAAGATCCATGGAATCTCTCCAACGATGAGTATTACTACCCTAAGCAACAGGGTCTTCGAGGCACTTTTGGAGGGAATATTATCCAGGTAAAAGTAGCATCTTTTCTGTGGTAAGTGGGGACCCACTGCTTTGTTCTGATGAAGGGTATGGTTAATCTTACCTAGGCTGGAGGTAGTATTTAATTGAAGCCTTTATATCTCCTGTTTTTAGCACTCAATTCCTGCTGTGGAATTGCGGCAGCCCTTCTTTCCCACTCACATGGGGCCCATCAAACTACGGCAGTTCCATCGGCCACCTCTGAAAAAGTATTCCTTTGGAGCACTGTCTCAGCCAGGTCCCCACTCAGTTCAGCCCTTGTTAAAGCACATCAAAAAGAAGGCCAAGGTATGAATGAATCCTGGTTGGAAGAAAAAAAAGACAGCGGGGTACAAATTGGGGAAGTAGACTGGATGTTAGATAATACCAGGGGATTATTTGTTTTCTCAGATAAGATATGGCATGGATGTTAGGAGAATGTCTAAAATACTTAAGGGGTGAAATATGATGACAACTTTCAAAATTGGTCTAGCACAATCTATATGTTGTGTTGTTGTTAGGTGCCATGAGTCGTCTCATAGCAACCCTGTGTACAGTAGAACGAAACGCTGCCCAGTACTGTGCCAGCCCCATGGTCCTTGCTATACCTGAACTCATCGTAGCCACTGTGTTAATCCATCTTGTTGAGGGCCTTACCCTTTTTCGTTAACCCTCCACTTTACCAAGCATGATATCTTTCTCCAGGGGATGGTCCCTTCTTACAACATGACCAAAGTAGGTGAGATGAAGTCTGACCATTCTCATTTCCAAACAGCGTTCTGGCAGCCCTTCTTCCAGGACAGATTGGTTAGCATTCCTTGCCAATACCACAACTCAGAAGCATCAACTCTTCTTCTTCAGTCTTCCTTATACATTGCCCAGCTCTCATATGCATATGAGGTGATTGAAAATACCATGGCTTTGGTTAAGTGCGCCTTAGTCTTTAAGGAGGCATTTTTGCTCTTCAGCACTTGAAAGAGGTCTTTTGCAACAGATTTGCCCAATGCTACAATACATTGTCTGATACCTTGACAGCTGTGTCCATTGATGTTGATTGCAGGACCAAGAAATATGAAGTCTCTGACAACTTCAATCTTTTCTCCATTTATCATGATCCTACTTATAGGTCCAATTGTGAGAATTTTTGTTTTCTTTATATTGAAGTGTAATCTGTACTGCAGACTGTGGTCTTCAATCTTCAATAGTAAGTGCTTCAAGTCATCCTCAGTTTCAGCAAGCAGAGTTTTGTTATCAGTGTATTGCAGGTTATTAATGAGTCTTCCTCCAATCCTGATGCCATGTTCTTCATATACTCCAGCTTGGATTATTGAGTAAGTGTGGTGATAGGACACAACGCTGACACGTGCCTTTCTTGATTTTAAACCATGCAGTGTCCCCTTGTTCTGTTCACATGACAGCCTCTTGGTCTATGTACGGGTTCCTCATGAGTACAATTAAGTGTTATGGAATCCCCATTCTTCTCAATCTTACCCATAATTTGTGATCCACACAATCAAATGCTTTTGCATAGTTAATAAAACACAAGTAAACATCTTTCTGGTATTCTTTGCTTTGAGCCAAGATCCATCTGACATC